ACATGAGAGCAGTATCAATCTTCTCATGTACCTCTTGCAAGAAACCCACCACTATGCTATTTCTTCATCAGACAGTCTCTGTTACCACTGTTCCACACCGCCACCTGCTTTATATGATTCCAGATTGTGAGATAATGACCGAGCCAGCTCAGACGATGAGCTATTGATGGTTTAAATGAGCTCATACGGCCCTGCTGTAATTGGTGTAGGCTGACCAATACCAATTGCATCTGGGTTAGGAGCACCAGGTGTGGGGAGGGAATAACAGTCATCCATCAGCACGAGGAGCTCCGCAGCCTGCTACATCAACTGGTTTAAAGAGAATCTAACAAATTATGCTATATCTTTTTGTCATCTCTAGATCCAGACTGGTCTTCAATACTTATCTAGCTCTTTAGAGAAAGAAAAAAAAAGATTGCCTGTGTAGGAAAACAGATGGAGATGGGCTGCAATGTGTCAGACCCCACATTGTCTATTCTATCTTGTAAAACCTTGTCTACATAGGCTTCTACTGCAAACATAGTGACATACTTTTATATTTTTGGCTGCTATTGGCTGATAAAAATGTTTATACAAATTTAAAGAAATAATTAGACATCTGAAGAAATACCACTTTCCCTTTCTTGTGAGGAGATCCACACCTTGCTCATATCTGTCCATTAAAGATGCAGCTCCAGCCAAGAGACGGTTAGCTTAGCTTAGCACAAAGTCTGGAAACAGGGGAAACAGCTAGCCTGGATCTATCAGCACCTCTAACTCACTGCACCTCTTTTCAGTTTTAAGAGGGTGATTTTTTTTCACCTTTGGACAGAGCCAAGCTACTGTAGCTTCCTGCCTGCTTTCATTCTTTATGCTAAGCTAAGCTAACAAGTGTCCTTACTGTAGCATTGTATTTACTGTTCAAACAAGAGAGCGGTATGGAGCTTCTCATCTAACTCTCTGCAAGAAAAAATACGTGAGTTTCCCAAAATGTCTAATTATTCCTTTTAATGCAAATCACTTTGATACAGTGAAAGGCTGTTACTGTTAAAATGTTTAAAGTAAAAGAGCTGATGAGCGTCTCCTCTTGTCAATCAACGCAAGCAGAAAGTATTGGTGTAAAATATAACTAAAGCTGTTCATTTTGGGATTGAAGCTGTCCTCGTAGTCCAATGCGAGCCTTTTTGCTTAATTATTGACATCCACTCTGGACCCGTCTGAGTCAAGTGAGAGAACTGTCTGTCTGCCCCGCCAGTCGGCAGTCAGCAAGCTCCAGCAAAACCCAAATCTGAGGTGGCAGTGATTGAGGCTGCCGAAACAGAGAAGTACTCAGACAGCTGACATTTCCCATCTTGTCTTGGCCAGACACATAGCCCCTTTTTTCATCTAGTTCCCTCCTCAGGATCATAAACCAGGGGCTCCTGTGCAGGGGCAGCGAGTATAGGCAATCTCAGGTGTCTCAGATTGTAATTGTCCCCTTCTCTAAAACTTTGTTGTCCGCTAATCGACACACAACCTGTTTCTTCTCATGCTCAGATGCTCCATGTTTAACGCCGTTTTTTCTCTCAGGCCATGACTGCTCATTAAGCAGAGTGATATGCTTGACTGTGGGGAAGTAGCAGTCCAGACATCAACACTTCACAGAAACAGTGAAAAAACATTTTGCAGGCTACTCACCACTTTGACCAGCTGTGACATGGACACCTCGAACTGCACAATAACTGGGTCGGTCACATTTTCCACCGGTCGTATGTACTGGTTATAGCTGGTGAATATCACAGAGAACAGCTTGTGCTCTGCTTCTGAACAGGAGCCTCCTGAATAAGAGCAGAGGGTCAGACATGGATCTGTCACTGCAGTGTGCTTTAATTGGTTATAGCTGACAGTACAGCTTGATTACAAGGTGACTAACAGCCAGATGATTGTTAGTTAGTTCTCATCAATCCAGAGGAGCAGTGTAAGTCTTACCGTTTCACCTGTTTCAGTACACTTTTAAGATTAGAATTAATAATCACGTTTTAGTCATCCCAGAGTGTTACTTGTGCTGTTCTGATTTATTTCCACATTGTAAAGAATAATAATTGGCACCCATACAAACATATGCATCCCCTTAAATGAATAACAACATAGCCATAAATAAATAAATAGCCATATATCCTCATTTGTAACCTTGATTTCCCAGAATGTTTAAGTTATAAATTGTAGGATTTCAATGTGAGGATATTTCTATTCAAAATGCTTATAATTATAACATATAGGCTACAGTAACTAGTATACTGAATTTCTAATAGTATACAGGTAAAAGGCATTTTTGTATCATTAACTATGGCAATATTATTAAACACATTTATGTAACGCAACAAGTAAGTCACAAAATGTTATGTCAAAGTAGTAGCTCAGCTTATTACTCACCTGGGAGAAGAAACAGAAGGAAAGAACATGCGGGCAAAACGAAGTAAAAATTGGCTTTCATCCTGTTTCAAATGACGAATTGCAATGAATCCAGGGTCAGTGGCAGCAGCGCTCCCGGAGCAGACAGGAGGAGAAAGTGGAAAGAGTGAACGCGCGTCCGCAGCTACAGACGGAGGCAGAGAGAGGGAGGCAGAGCCACACTGACACACACAGTCACGGATAGGAGGCACATTGCCACTGCAAAAAAATATTCCACCAATTGCGACTTCCTCTGATAAAACAAGGGGGGAAGTGGCCACTTAAAGATCACAAAAGGCTACAAATCAGGCCTTTAATTGATTTTGACTAGTCCATTAAATAAGGAGTCAAAATCAAGACGTGTCTGCTTTTTGGATGGGGAAAAACAACCCACAATAGAACCGACTGAAATCAGATTGCGCACTTTGTGGAAGACACAGCTTTCAAGACACTATTTTCCATCAGAGTTAGAACCGGTTTTGGTTATCTGAGGAGAGATCTGTGTTATTGTATTTCTTCTGAGCTTCACTGGTCTGAAGTAGGCCAGGCTCAGTTGGTAAAATGATATGTCACGTACCTTTGTGCACCAATCAGGTTTAAGCATGTTAATCAGAATCTGATAACAGTTGTTGGGCTGTTTCATGATCCAACCACACCCACAGACTGTGTGTGTTATTTACTTTATAGTTCTAATACTTTTCAAAAAACTTTGATTGTTATTTATTTATTCATAAAAATACGGTGTTATAACAAAACACATACAACTGATGCCAGGTTTTCAGGGGCTTTAACTTGAAGCCATTTGGATCTTTTGCATGAAGACACTTTGGCACCGAGGTTGTGCAGAGTTAACATTTCCCGTGGGTAGTGAACATGGACCCAGGTGGTGTTCACACACCCAAACAGTGCAGCAGACGTCCATATTAAATTACCAAATAGCCTTCAGTTCAGCAAACAAGATAAATAGCCCGTGTTCCACTGGGATGGGGTTTGAGTGGCCCTCAGTGGCACCTTAAGAACATAACCACATTTTTCTTGATTGATTGATTGATTCTTTATGTTTGTTTTCACATAATACCCTGTGTTTTGTTTTTGTTTTTTAAATATATATCAATATCTGTTGGAAAGCCAACTTATAATTGGGTTATTGCTCTTTCTTTGACTCTGGCTTTCCTTGTGTCTTTCTTGATTGTCAGTGTAGAGCAGTATTTTTCTCTCCTTTAGTCAGCAGGGTGGCCCAGCGGGGTGACAGTTCTGTCCTTCAGCTGGATGAAGGGGATGTCCAAGTGCTTTTCAGCCGTGCTGAACTGCCCTCAAACAATAAATAAATCCCCACCAGCACCAGAGATGCTGTCTGGTGTCTGACCCTGCAACTCCTTTTAGTGGGACAGGTGAAAAGAGAATCGTCCCCATGGGGGATTAATATAGAATTACATCACATGAAAATAGAAGGAAATTTTCATTTGACCTTCGCTAGGTTTTCTTTCTCCTACACAATGAATACTATACAGAGGCTTGCATCATTTAACAAGACTGTATTAGTGACAAACAGTTTCCAAGCATCTCATGCTGCAAAGGTTATCCTGACTTGGAGTGAAACATGTAATTTCATCTGAATCCTCAACTTTCCAAGGACTATATTATGGTAGATATTTGTTGGTATAAATGCTTGCTTACATGGAAGGATAACTCTTAGAGTTTTCATGCATCTCTTATTGGAAACTAATGACAAAAGGCTGCTGACATAAGGCTTGTGATTTATGGGACCTTCTACAGAGTGTTGAATGACAACTCCTCCTGCTCAGCTTGGATTGAACAGATGAACTGTTGATGGATATGCTGTGGCAATGCGCCATCTCTTTTCGCTATTGACAGGAAGCTAACAGGTCAATGAAGAAGCCTAGAATGATCATGAAAACTGTAAACAGAGATTAAAGCAAAGCAAGTCCGGCCATTAACATAGATGCTGATTGCTATCTCTTGATTTAAATGAAGGTCTCACAAAAGAACCAATAGTCTGCAGAATCTCTAACAAGCCCACTCAGCACTGTTTATTGAGCAGTAAATGTTGTGTGTTTGTTTGTGTATGTGTGGGTGGGTGAAGGTTCAGTTCACCGTGTCTTGCGTTTTGTAAAGCATCATTTATGTGTGCCTGCACTTGCCCTTCTGTACAAATAAGCACTTAACAGAGATCAGCTCTGGTGTAAAGGCAAAAATGAGTGGCTGTAAGATTACAGTGTCTGGAGCAAATAAATTTAGTTTTTTCTTCTTCACAGATTTAAAGCCTTAGAGTGCTTAAGGGTTCTGTACGTGTCGGGTCTGTTGCTATAACTATAGCAAAAGTACTTGTCCTCAAGATCCATCTCCAATGGTTTTGTTGTATCAACATATTTTTTTGCCTGCTCACACATTCAAGTGAACGGCTGTCTTATCTATGTGATGAAATGTTCTAATTGGCACCTTTTCAGCTTACGTATTGGCTCTGAGGACAAACTTTATCACCAGTACCACAGATTAACTAAGCACTTTGGCAAGACCCTGACAATTTTAAGACTTTATTGGGGATTTCATACATTTAATCAAACTGAAAGAGGACACACATTTGTCTTTATTGTTCATTCTTTATTCACACATCACATTTTAAAGACATAATAATATAAACACAAATAAGGAGTCACACAACATCTGACAGCAGACAGATGTTCCTCATGTGTCTGTCATATTGGGTATATTTCTGCAACAGTTCAGCATACTGTGACAGTGTTGTGAGAGGTATTCAGTCCAGGTCTGCAGCTGTCTTTTGTAGACATGAAGGGAAATCACCTGCGATGATTCCACATTAGGTCCTCTGCAGATGACCCATTTTCCTCAAAATGCTGAGGGTTGTACTGCTGAAAACCACGTGGTTTTGGTTATTAGGAGACATTTTATCCACATTCTATCTCTCACAAAGATCCTGTCTGTTCCACTGTTGTACACAATGAGTAGTTGCAAGTACTTTTATGTTTGGTTCGTCTGCCTTATTTGTGGGGATTGGCACATATGATGTTTGCTATTGGTGCTTTTTGACCCCACCAATATGGCATTACAGGCTATAAGAAAAAAGACTTTGCAACTGCCACTGGTCTGCATCTGCTTATATGAATATATCCTACCATCTTAATTGCTGAAGAAAAATAAACCCTAAAACTTGCCTTGTCTTGTTCATTGCTCATCATATGTGAGGGGTTTCTGAGCTGGGCTGCTGGCTGGGAATAATCTGAGTCTGGAAGACAGGCTGAAGAAATAAGCCCAGGGTTCCCACCACACACACTATCACAAAGATCCACAGGAACATACGATCCACCACCATAGCCACGTACTTCCAGTCCTCAATCACCTGCCAACATACATAAACCAAGTATTAAGTATAAGTAAATTAGTCACTCTGCATGTTTTTGTCAAAATAAACATTATCTTTTGCATCCAAACAAACTATAAAACCCTAATGACACATCATACATCATGTAAATATGCCTGGTAGTATACTGTGTTTGATAGCAGTTGAATTGTATTTAATTGGAACATACATGGTTCTGTTATAAACATTTACATATGTATTACATCCAGTCTTACCAGTGATATTGCTGAGGTACACTTACTCTGATGATAATGAAAGAGTAATATCTGAACGGGAACTTAAGTTACATCCCTGTAAAGACTGTTTCCGTATTGCTGAGACCAACACTGAAATAGCTATTGACCCTTTCACCTCATTTTCAGTGCTGTCCTTGGTAGCTTTTGAAACAAATCATTTCTCATTCCGGGTTCCCTCCTTATTTTATTGATTTATCAGAGAAAGCAATTGATTAACCAAAGTCTACCTTTAATTTTCTGGGTCACAGCCACCACTTAAAGGATAGTGGTATCTCCTCCTGCACCTCAGGGGTCATAGAATATAAATATTATCATGTCAATCAAACACCCTTCGTCCACTTTATTGGGATCAGGTTTTTGTCACACGTTTTCTGTTTATCTCTTGTTTATCTTGTATCTGTGGGAATTGATTCCTCAAGGCTAGCATAAACTGTGAGCAGGGAAAAACAGCTCTCTCCAAAGGTCAGATAATTCACCTACCATCACCTCTAAAACTCACAGATGAACACATTGTGTGTTTGCTTACTCCATACACAAAAAAAATGTTTTGTTTGTTTTGTAAATGTAGTATTTCTTTACAAAATATCTTTGCACCCATAACTTTGTGTCATTTTTATTCCACATATTCTTCTTCCTGGTTTAAAACGTTTACCTACATTATCCACAGTTCAATTTGTGTAGGAAATGTTTATATACTCATGTTTTGGTCGGTGATTCACTTTTATCTATTTCAATTTTATACCCTTAAAAATGCAAAAAGATGTGATATTCTTTAGTGGCAAAATAAATTATACAGAAACTTTTTTTATGGCTGTATAGATGCAATAAAACATTAGGATTAAATGTATACATACACTCTGATCATCATCATCTCCCATCATGTGCTCAGCCACAAAGCGCACCCCGTTCACCGCCTCCTGGACATCAGCAGCCCAATCTGAGTTGCTTTGCTGCTGGAGGTCTTGGGGACAAGTCAAACCACTGGGAAGGTAATCAGTGGGGCGCACATCCCCTTTCTTGTTGGAGTGGCTGTAGCTTAGTGGTGGAGCTACATTTTGGTGTCCTGGGTAGGAGAAGACAGAGTCGGAAGACAGCAGGGCAGAAGACGACATGTTGATACCTGTTTTCGATCCAACTGGGTAACCCAAGCCCAAAATGGCTCTCCTCGCCCGTAGACACCGCTGTTGTTGAAGTCTCTGGCGTGCAGAGTTATTGTGAGGGCGTCTCATGAAGAGCAAGGCAGGCAGTTTGACAAGAAATATCAGCTTGACCCAGGAAGGCATGGTGTGGGTGCTGGGAGAGCGGTGGTGCACGTTGAGCACACACACACTGGTGATAATGGAGAAGGTCACCAGCACCATGGTGAACATCAGGTACTTGCCAATCAGTGGCACATCCAGTGAGGTGGGAGGAACAATCTTTGAGATCAAAAGCAAGAACACAGTGAGAGCCAAGAGGACAGAGATGCAGAGGGTCATCTTCTCCCCGCAGTCTGAAGGTAAGTAGAAGACCAGAATGGCCAGAGAGGTGATCAAAACACAGGGGATGATGAGGTTGATGGTGTAGAAAAGGGGCTTCCTCTTGATGATGAAGTCATATGTGAGGTCCACATAGGTGGGATCCAGAGGGTTGACAGTTCGTCTGCCTGGCAGCGCCAAGATATCCCACTCGCCACTGGGAGTAAAATCATCCATGCTGGCCACCTCAGACTTAAGGATCAGGTCAATCTCTGTGTGGTCATACGTCCAAGAGCGAAACTTGAGGGTGCAGTTCTGCTGGTCGAAGGGAAAATGCTTGACCTCGATCTTACAGGCACTTTTGTAGATGGCTGGAGGAAGCCAGTTGATGCTGCCATTGTAAAGGACAATGGCATTGGTAAAGACTGTTACCTCATAGGTACCATCAGCGCTATGAGAAGAAGAAGATAGAGAAAGAAAACTTTAGGGAGCTTAGGGCCATAGAGAAGATAAGAGGAAAGCTACTCATACTGAAAATTTGTATTGGTTTTTTCCCCAGCCAAGGACAGTCAAATCAATATCAAAACTGAAATCCACAGAGGACAGACTAAAACCCTCATCATAAGAGGTTTTCAGACAATCAATTGAGAAAGATATTAATGATGAGGTTGAATCTTACAAAGAAAACATGAAAAGATTTTTAAAAAGAGCCATGTCTGTTTTAATTTTTAATGCAAACATTGCATAAATGCACATAAAATCTCTCTGTAACATAACACTTTGAATTTTAGGGATGCTTACTTGTTGTACAGGACAATATCTGGGAGCCAAATGTGTCGGGAAGGAATACGTAGCTTGTCAATACCTTCGTATTTTGAAGGGTCCCATGATAACCTGTAATCCACCCAGTGCTGGAGAGACAGAGAGAGCTGGCCGTCAACTCTTTACTTCAACACACTTTCTCAAGACCAGCTCATTTTTAATTACATGCTTCATTATCATTGGTATACGTTTGGAGCACAATTACAGAAGCACTTTGTTCCACATTGAGAGAAGAAGAATGGATATGGTTTAATTCAAGTTCAGAGGAAAGGACATTTAACAAGACATAGGCTTACTGAGAGTATATAACTGAGCTTTGTCACACTTACCTGAGTGAGCCAGACATTTGTAGTCATGATCTGTTCTCTTTCATTCTGGAAATGTACATGTTAGGTGGTAATTACTTGCAGAACACAATACTATTGACTCAGAAAGAACAATAAAGTGGTTATGACATGTATGCACATTTTATAACAGTATAATGCTGGCCCTGAACGCTGATTTAAACAAGTAATATATAAACAGTTGACATAGTTATCTAAAATGAATGTGGATGAACAGTTGAAATTTTTTGATAAAAGTAATGGATAAAAAATTAATAATCAATGACCAAGGATAGTTTTTCTAACACTAACTAACTTCAGATGAACCTTCTTCTTTCTGTCATCTTTACTCTTGCTTGAAGTAAAGTAAAAAATCACTGCATTTAAATCCACCTCTCTTCACAGATTGCTTGTTAACATGTTTGTTGGGGGCATTGTCATCACACTGCTATGACATACACTTCCAATAAAGTGATACCAAATGCCAATTACTCCAAGGGGTACAATGCAGTCTCATAAACTGAGGCTGCGAATGAGCCTTGCTGCCTTGGTCTGCAGCTGGGAGGAGCATCCACTGTAAATCAGAGGGCAGCCTCTATCACTGTGGCTAAAACAGCTTTATGGCCCCTTTTAATCCAATGTGCTGAAGTTTCAATCTGAACATGACAGAGGCAGAGATCATAGCTGACCAGATCTATCCTGTACTTTATCCATCCATTTAGAGCTACAGCCTCTCTGCACAGGCTGGTTTGTAATTAACTGCTTTCTCAAAGCTTTGTGGCTCTTGTTCTGTCTTTTCTATTATGCTCCTTCTTTCACTCTGTCTTTCTCTTCCTGTCTCCGTCTTTGTCACCCTTGCACATATTCCTTCCCTCACACACACACACACACACACACACACACATAAATTAATACACACACATTGTCATGGTGGACAAGATAATTTGGTTCCTTACCACACTGATGAGCTGAGCCAGAGACACTTGCAGCTTCACTGTGACTCTCTCGGTCCTGTTGACAGCCGGGCGGATGAGCGGATTATAGCGTTTCTTTTCAAGCAAAGTGTTCATGAGACACTCCTCTGAGTAAGCACAGCTGCTACCTGGGGACACAGTTACAGTTTGTGCACAGGTATACACATCCAAAATATAAGTAGCAAGACAAAACCTTTAGATCATAAGACGTGTGTTTCATGGAGAGAGACTTTATGCTTGAAACCAAGCTTATTACACATTAGACCATTATTATGATATGGCTAGCTACTTTTTTTCTTTTAGCATGCTGGTATTTTGCTTACTGATTTTCAATCCATTAGTACTAACAAGTACAGATTGGCTCCACTTCCTTGCGTGTCTTGACTGCTGAGTTGGTTGTTTAAAGCCACTACATTCAGCTGTCACACTGAACTATTTTTGAAATTGAGGATGGAGATGCATGGAAATCATTCAGTGAGACGCCATTGGCTAAGTGTACTGCAGTGCTTTCCCACTATGGTCCAAACAATCCAGTTTCCCCAAATCTCATTTTGTATACATTTCTTTTACACTTTCCCAAGATGAAGATGTATTTTTTTCCTACATATGTGGTATAAACCAAGCCATAACATAACAAAAACACTGAATTATCCATCCATCATCTATAACCGCTTGTCCTTTGCAGGGTCTCTGGGGGCTGGAGTCGATTCCAGCTGACACTGGGCGAGAGGCGGGGTACACCCTGGACACGTCCGTAGTTTATCACAGGTCTGACACATAGAGACAATAAACCATTCGTGTTAAGGGCCTAACCTAAGGACAATTTAGAGTCACCAATTAACATACAGACACAGAATTAGTACTTGGAAAATGCATTTTTTAATTCCCTGTGTTTTAAATGTTAGGCATTAATTGTTGGTCCGTGACAGCACATGAACTGGTCTATAACATGAAAGCTGGAAACTCCCTGGCCCACCCCTCTGACGTCCACAGGATTACTATCTTCTTCTTTACATAAAGGGTGCACCACTTCCTGCTTTGGACTGTTGCCATGATATGATACTGGTCCAAAATTGAATTTGAATTTTTTTCAATTTTTTCTTTTTTTGGCTAAACGTGCATAGGGATGGGTCAGCCATCAAACCTTTTGAATGTACTGATATGATATACATGTCCATCCCTGAATTCTCAAACCAAAAAGCATTGTGTAAGAGAGAGTGTAACAATTGATTTTGTTTTAAACCCTGCACTACAACTCCCTGTAGACAAAGTACAGTCATACCCTCTGTGCTAAAACTCTGAAACGCTATGAAAAGGAAGTGAACAAATCTGTTTCGCAAAGTAATGTTCCTCTTCTAAATATTCACCAAATGTGTCAAACTAATTCGTACAAACCACACGTACAACTTTCCAGATCTTAAGGGAAACAGCAGCTGTCAATTAAGATTGCCAGGGATGACTGTGTTGTGGAAATTACACTGAAATGTTATGAAGACCCCAAAGTCATTTTAAAATTACATTTTGGATGAGGGCAGATATTTTCACAGCATGTTAATAATTCTGCTTTTGCCCAAAGTTAAAACCACTGGGTGTATCTTTTAAAATGAGAATTAGCTATGAATATCAACACTTACACTCCTTCCCTCCATCCCTGATAAATGAATGCCTATGTCAGAGGTACAGACAAGCCTGATTGAAACTGATGATCAGTGCTTCTCATCTGGAGCAGAATGAATACATGTAGTGCTACCTCTTCCATTTTCTTTACATAAAGGTTATTACAGCTGGAGTAGCTGAGTCAGCTTACTCGTGAGAAACATGCCAATGATGTGAGGTGACTCTTACTGATGGGCTCACTGAAGAAGAATTGCTGCTGTTGTCAATACTCTGCAGAGTGATATTCATGACTGCAGAACCTCAGAGATTCATCTCATGTGTTAATTTGTGTAGCTTCTGATGCTGTGTACTATAAGTAAGAACAGTGCCAGACTTCCAGCTCCAATGCTTCTCCTCTTGCTCAGAATCAAACTGTGTGTGTCATTATCAGCCCACAGACTCCTGGAGCTTTGCAGGGTGTGGCATACCGACAGTCGAGCCCCGCGGGTCAGCGCATGCTGCCATGACTGTGCCTTTGTCAGTCATTTGGCTGAGGTCCCATTCAACACAGTTGGACCTCCACAGCACTGCTCAACAGATGGTGTGTTGTCAAAGCCCTCGGAGACCAGAGTCAAACATGCTCTACCTTCCCCAGAGGCGAAGGCCACTTGTGGACCACCCAAACCTGTGATTACCTGCTGTGGACTGCCACTGGTGTATGTGTGTGTGAAGGTTTCATGTGTGTCTCATAAGTGTTGTGTTGACATTACATTGATTGAGAGTGAGGTCAGGCGTATTAATACAATGCTATTCAGCCGCTGTGGAGTTGATAAGGTCAGTCTGCAGCACACTGAAAAACATGATTATCCAAAAATGCAATACAGTTGGAGACATGAGAGCATAATCAAGTGTGTGTATGAACCAAAACAAAGGGCAAAGGTTGAGTGAGTTGTTACGAAGTATATTAACAGATTTGTCTCTCTCCTTCTTCTTTGTATTTCACCTTCTTCTTCTTACATGGAGAAAAAAGAGGAAGATAAAGAAGAAGGAGAGGAAGAAGCAAAAAACTTTGTCTCATGTGAAATACGTGAGGATCCATCACTTAAATGTCATAACTGACTGACAAAATTACACAGGGGGTGTCACAGTATGAGGAACTTTCTGAACTTCTGCTGTGTAAACTGTAAATCTGTGTAGAGTCCCACTGATCAGACCAAGTAAACCCAGTTGATCATGTGAAATAGTGATGTTGGAGAAAAGAAAAGAAGGTGCTGTTTTTTCATCTCAGCTGTATAGACAACTTATGGCTCAAACCTTCAGATGAGTGCTGATTTGGTGGCTACAGGCCACATTTTATAGCAGGACTGACTCATCAAATTGCCTCTGATGACACTGTATCGAAAAACAGTAGTATCATACCTCAGTTGAACTTCCAAAAAATGATTTATTTTTTTTCATGCTATTTATACATGCGTTTTTAGTTTATATTAAAAAAAAAAAAAAAAAACTAATTTCAAATTAGGTGTCATGATTAAAAAATTAAAGCATTTTTGCGTGTTCATTTGTGTCGTTTAAACTATGCAGCTGAGTGAAACTTTTATCTGCACTTCAAATTAAAAGCTGCGATTCGACTTTGGGACACAAGACATTCACTTCTCAGCACAGAGGCACTTCTCACCTAAATACATTTGGAGATGACACAGATAAAAGCACATGCTGGAACAACCTAAATTAGCAGGTTAATTCACTGAACCTAAAGAAATACATACTTACAGTGGACCAAAGAGAGAAGGTAAGCGAGGATGGAGAGAGCCCGAGTCATTTTTTCGCCACCATCTGATCCGCTGGAGTTGTCAGTGATGAAGCCTCAAAGCTGCGGTGTTCAGCGCTCTTCCTCTCGGACATGCCACCGGACCTTACGCGCTCACGGTTTGGACACTTAAATCAGCACTGTGCTGATGCCTGAAAAAATAGATAATTTACCGAAGAGCGAGGTTTGTTGTCTCGTCGTTGGGGTTACTTTCCAACAATCCTCCCCATAAAATTCGCAAATTCTCCTCCTATAGGCAAACGGGTCTTTTGCGCTCCTCCGACGCGCAGCAGCCTGTCCTGGCGCGCTGCTCTCTCCGTGCCCAGCAAGTCCTGCAGGTCCTGTACCCGGACTGTGATCAGCTACTGCAAGTTTACACCAGCTCAGCAGCTGTTGTAGATAGTAGGTTACATATGCTGTATGTACCAGTGGACATGTTATTCGCTGTATTTTGCATATTGAAAGGGATGAGGGGCTTTATTCATTAACATAAAATATACTTTTGCTGTTGGATTTGGTGGTGGAAGGAGGTAATACTATACAGTTAATGCACTTAGTATGACACATTTCTCACATTTTGCCCCCACACCCTAATAAATGATGATTATCTACCCTTACTACGGAAAAAAAATACACAGTACTCACAATTACAACATGTGTACAATCCAAGAAATCATTTTTAGACTGATAGCTGAGGATTTTCTACAAATTTTCAAAGTTTTATGCTGTATCATGTAACTGTCTTGAACCCAGAATGTAGTCACATGTCAGTATAAGGTTCCACGTCCTCACAACTTTTTTCAAACAGCATCCTCAAGAAGACACCCCCAGACTAAGCACAGATGTTGATATACAGTACACATCTGGGCCTAATTCTTTTCCCAGCGACATGCATTAGTTGACGATCCTTGCGATCATTTGCTGACTTTGGCGAGTGTGCTCAGGAGAGGACCATAAATTATTCTCTGGTCCTGGATGTGAGATTTAGTGAGGTGAGGTCCAGTCAGACCAGGAGCAGTGCAATCTTAGCGTAGCAGATTTACAGTCGCTGCTTAAAGCCTCATTATAATGGCCAGTAAAGGAACTGTATCAGGTCTGAGGAGCAGCCCCAGAGACTTGCCTGGCATTATAAATTTGAACTCCGAAGACTTTTGAGTGCAGATCAATGGGAACTGATTAGGTTTTGACCCCACTTTGTCAGGTCGAAGGGGACAGGGTCATGTACTGCACAGTGTGTTCATTTGTTTGCAAAATTATATGTGCCAGACATATTGTTTATACAGAAAATAAATTATTTTCACAACACTTGAGAATCCAGATGCAGGCAGAAACAAAAAAAATGTATGTAGAAGACTGTACTAGTGTTTTAGTTTTAGTCTTTTTTTGGTCTGCTGTATTCACTACAAATGATTTATATTTGACAGTACTGCAGATCATTTCCCAAATATGACATAAACAGACACTATTAGGTTAGGCCCTTAGCAGAAATGTATTTTTCCGACCTCACATTCAGCAACTGGTGTTCATTCATTTCTGTATGTGACGTCACAGTATATCCACTTGCAGAGACTTTAAACTTTGTTTGAATTGTAGAGGATCCATTACAGTGAATATTATGTCTGCTTTGGTTTTACTTTGAAGTCATGGTTGAGTGTTATTCAGTGCAGAAAATCTGAATTTATAACTGAACTGCCATAAGCAAGTGGGGTTCAGAATATACATCAAATTAATCTAAATCACTACTTCATGCTGTAAGAAGTATTGTAAAATTCACTTTTGTAATACATTGGCTGAAACATGCTAAAACTGGTATGCTCTTGAATTGAGCTTGAATTTAAAAAGTGATATCCTACAGTTTCATGGGAATCATATTTTCTATCACTCGTTCTGTTATTGCAAACCAAATTCTTACTAATGTGCAAAAATGCTTGAAATACACTGTCAGCTGCACTGTTTTTATCAGAATTACCATGATATTTGAACACTGATCCCATAAGCACCAGTCATGAAAGTATATTTTGAATATACAATGAATTGCAGTCATGAGTGGTGAAACATGACTGCTCAGAAATGAACCATGTGCCAGTTCATTTCGTAAGTGGCTGCCTACTTCATCATATTACACAGTGATGACAACTTACAGGGACACATTCTGTGAAATACTCAATATCTACAATATGATTTCTGATTGGAGAGCAAGAAGGCTGTTTAGACTTTGGATTAAAGCCAACAATCCTATCACTAATAGCATCTCATCCATAATAGCTCAATGGGTAATTGTATTAATACTTAATTATTTCCAAAAAGGAGGTTTGTAGACAGCCTGTTTCTATGGAAGCCCTAAACAGTCATGGATTCAAATGTTGTTATCTTGAGATCACACAAGTTAGATAATTATTGTGTTATCTTGGGATAACAAAGCTCTTTTTCGTGTGATAAGTTAATTTATCAAGAGAAAACATCTAGAAACAGCAGTTTATGGTTTTAATTCTCTCTCTCTCTCTCTCTCTCTCTCTCTCTCTCTCTCTCTCGCTCTCTCTCTCGCTCTCTCTCTCAATTCAATCCAAGTGGCTTTAGTGATATAACTGCATACAATGTTGCTAAAGCATGTTAACACAAAGTACATACTCATATTAGACATAAATACACAAAATAAACAATAGCAATATAAAAGAGCATGGAGAACAAAGGGGCTATGGAAGGTAGGTAAGAGTAATAAAAGATATAAACCTAATGTGAATCTATTGAGATGTCACCCATTCTCCATGTTGGTCTTCTTGAACCAATGGCGGTGACATCCTGCGAGCTGATCTGCGCTCATTGGCTGTGCAGTTTCTACTTGTGGTAGGTCGCAGGTGTGAATGCATGTATATGTCAATCAAGAAATTTGATTAGATCAGTTGTGCTTGGTCAGACATCCCAGCATCAATAAAGGTTAAACAATTAACTTTTGGTCATTTGTTTAATGAGAAGTGTGATTCTTTAAAAATCATGTTCATTTACATTACAGTATTATGTTTCAATTGTCCAATCCCAAGCTCCTTGCGTTCCTTATAATTTCCTCTAAAATGGTTGTATGTTCACACACTACATTTTATGGTATGCAGGCACACAAACTATTTGAGAGAATCAAGTGATGTTGGTGAATCTATTTTTTAAAAATAAAAAATCTGTCTGGCCCTTTTGAATTATGAAGTACAAGCTTTCCTTTTTCATAGGTATAGGGGCAACATTTTAAAGGTTTAAATGCCACTAAGCCTAGCCACAAGAAGAAAAGCTATGTTGCCACACAATTCACCGCCTTAGCAGTTTAACGCCTTTAATACAAAAACATATATAAGTCATTTTCTGGTCACACATTTTGTTAACCACAGCATTGCTCATGATGTGGCTCAGTGGATTGTTAGTTTGTCTGTTGGTTGGTCTCCAACACTCTGCTGTCTGCACCATATAACTGGACAAAAACTGGATGTAATGTCATGAAATGTGGCTTTCGTGTCCCCCTCAGCCTCAGGATGAATTATAATCAAATCACATATTTCACCAACATCAGGGCAAATTAGCTTAGAACCTCAGCATGCTAACAAGCTAAACTAAGGAGGTGAACATGGTCAACAATACACCTGCTAGCATGTCAGCATTGTCACTGTGGGTATGTTAGCATTTAGCTCAAACACAACTGCTGCAGAGGATGTGAAGCGATCTGTTTTCTAAACAGCTTTTTGCTCACAACCCTAAATCATCTTAATCAAGTTCACTCTTGTGGGAAGCCTGTCCAGATTCTCAGTGAACACAATAAAAACAGGAAACAGCTCTGAGGATCAAACATATCTGACCGACTGACAACCTCCCAGTGCTTTAAATTTTAGTGGAGTTGAATAAAGTTGAGTCAAAGAAAACTGTTAACACTATTTAACTGCTCATTGGATATCCATTGAGGATTCAGACAGTTTATGAGTGGCATTACTACTAGCCTTGTTGGGTTACAAATTGTCTGCATTGGTATTATGAAAAAAAGAGCCCAAAACCCCTTAAACTCTCAGTGTTGCCCTGTATCCTAAGCCTCATTCTTTATACAAAAGAACATAACACAGAAGATAAACATTTATTTAAAACATCTCACAGCAAGAAAATTGACTAGAATAGCCACAACAACCTGGGCTACACTGATAATACACAGATAATAATTCAACCAAACCAAGCTGCACAGCTGAAAAAGTGAAATACACCTGGAACTGGCTTTATAAATCAGATATGAAATAATGCCTACTCTGAAGGGGCTGTTTGACTTCTATCTGTCTCTGCAGTGTGAAATATGAACTCTGCGAGCATCCTGACACGTTGACACATCGACAGGCAGTTTGTGTATGCGTGTGAGACACATCCCTGCATGCCTGGGAAGCGTGATGGAAGAGAAATGGCTAATCAAGGAATTGCTGCTGTTGCAGTACCATGTTGCACCGCTGCAATCCCACCCTGTGAGGGATATATATCAAGCAGGCAGTTCATTACCTGGAGTGCTTGGCTCCTGTACCAGAGAGGCACAGTCTCATGTGAACGTATCGATTTGCCCACCATCTATTGCCTACAGAGGGATAAACCCCTCACTGGTTCATGCACACTTTTTTAGTGCTATGATGATAATCTATAGATACAGCTGATGTCTTTCGTCTTTTTGTGTATGCATAAATATATGAATGAGTGTGTGTGTGGATAGTTTCCTGTCATGTTTCATGTGACAATTTTGTGTTTTACTTGAGTATATTCATTTAATGGTTCTTTGTACTTGCATACCACACCACTGTATACACTCACCTTTCATCCCAGTATGTTATTTGACAGCAATAATTACTAGTTACTTTTCAGATTAAGATTACAATACATCCGAAACATGTGACGAGCAAGGGAGGTATTAGCTCCACATCGACCAGCTATAAGAGTGAAATGAATGTAAAAATTAAAGGTACCATGTGTAACATTAACTAGGATTTATTGGCAGGAATGGAATATAATATTCATAGGTATATTTTCATTAGTGTATGATCAACTAAAAATGAGAAAAGTTATGAATTGTTACGGCAGTGTTCCTCTTGGGTCGCCTTCCGTAGAGGTCGCCATGTTGAACCGCCACATTAGCTATCCCAGAAGGGACAAACCAAACACTGGCAGTAGGGGACGTTCATTTTCGCCAGTTTCACGTCCACCATTGTTGTTTTTTTGGAAAAGGAAGGGGTGAAACGAGTGAGTTGCAATCTGCAACTACACTGCAAGATGCCACTAAATCCTATACACACTGGACCTTTAATGCAGCAGTATTACCAGTCAGATGACACAACTTGAT